CGAATTATTCTTCGCGGTTTCGAAGGAACTCTCGCACTTTTCCATTAATACACCGCTTGCACACAATGGTAGGTACCGTCCACAGTTTTGGAAATTTTATCCCGTCAATTTTTCATCTGAGCTGCCGTTTTGATGACTGTACCTTTTACCTTCAGTTTCCTCTTCATAATTGCCCAGTTGTTTTCAATGGGCCTGAACTGGGGGATTTTGGGTGGATTGAGGGTTTTCGGAACAAACTGGACTCCGTTGTCGTTGTACCATTGTTGTACTTCCCGGGTGTAGTGACAACTCGCAAGATCCGGCCAAAATGACTGGATGAAGGGCAGAATTCGCTTCTGGAGACATTCGGTTTTGTAAACGCCCGATTGCCTCATTTTCTCAGGGACGGAAAACTTTGTCTTCTGACCGCAGCTGCAAATTCCCTGCCAGATCATATATTTGCATGTGAATTAATCCGCACAAACAAATTTGAATCTGCCAGGGACATCTCCTCGAGCCTTCGCCTTGTAAAATTTTCGTCCTGGAAGCTTAGCCTTTACATAGTCCATAAGTATGCACCCATCGGACTTGGTCAGCAGGTTGTCATACAGCTTTCGAGCACGGGTTCTAGCTGCTGTATTCTGCTTGAGTGATCGATTTGGTTGCCTACTGGAACGGTATGTCTGTATATCTTCGCGGCAGTGAATTTGCTGCACTACGATACTACGGGCGGCATCATACTTTTTACTCAAATCGCGATCGGACAAACCTGGGTTGCTTCTGATGGACCTCTCCATGAAGCTGACTGTTGGCAGTTCCACTCCGGCGTTTACTTTGAGGCTACCGATATGTGTGTATGTGTGTGTGTATGTAACGAAATGAATGCGCTCACGTTTCTCAGCAACCGCTCAACCGATTTGGACAAACTCGGCGCCCATTGAACGCTATTGAACGGTTTTGGAATCGGTGAACCGGTTCCGGAGATATGGCCGGAATAAGATCCGGTTAATATGGGCCTTCACGCTGGATTTAACGGAAAACGTATCAAAACCATCATGCGACACATCAAATTACTACAGAATTCAAAAATAAGATCAATGCAAGTCGTGTTAAGTGTTCCAGACCACATTGGACACACTTGGACATGTTCCGGGTACCCCGGGGAAGTTGCTTGAATATGAATTGAATTAAAATCCATTAAATCACATTAAAATACGATGATAAGGTGATTGGTAGCCTCACCAAATAGACTACAACCGGATATATTCCGGGTACCCCCAGGCAGTGGCGTAGCGTCACTGGATGACACGGGGGTGGGGGGCTTGGTCACTGATAATGACAATAAAATAAATAAACTTGAATTAGTAAGAAGGGTCTGATCACACCATAGGTGGATAAATTCAGGTTTTTTTAATCGAATTTAATAAATAAATTAATTATATCAGTGTATATTTTTTTTTTCTTAGTTTTAATATCAATTAATTATCAACAACTTGTCCTCAGATACCATTTCGGTGCAATCAATAGTATATTAGATACTTTTTTCTAACAAAGTGCCCATGAAAATACATACACCCTATTAAAATACGACGCTTGTGTCAAAATGGTGTAAATATATATGAAAGATTAATATTTTCTCCTGTCGAAAATATAGCAAAGATTCAATTAAATCGGAAAGACTCAAATCTGGTAATTTGCCAATTTTGCGAAGAACTGCTCTACTGTATGAATAGAAAAAACGTCAACAATAACATAGAATGCATACAAATCACAGTTAGTGTCAATGAGATACACATACAGGGGTGATACGTGATAGTGTTTGTTTGTGTTTGATAGCAATAACCTAATTAGGTTCTGCAGCGTGACGTCACGAATGAACTCAGTGTTAATCGGCTGAACCTTTTTGACATTTCAATGGTACTGTTTACAAGCACTTTGCCGTTTTTTTCAAAAAAAATCCTATTTTGAAATTTCCAAATTTTAACTTGAAAATTGTCGAGGAAATACGCGGTGAAAGGATGTTGCTCGTGGACTTCGCAGTGTGGTTTACATCCCACTGCAGTCTGAAAAATTGTCGGGAAAATCTGTCCAAGAAACAATCGACTAAGTCCACGTAAACAGTACCACTGAACTGTCATCCGATTGAGGTTAACTCCTATGGTGCAAAACCTTATTAGTTTTTGCGGTATCTCGACATTCTCGTTCGAAATCAGTGCTATGTTTGGGTTATTCTCTTGCTCTCTTGAAATTGGCAGGTTATAAACAAAATATTGTAGTTTACCTTGCTAAGCAAGCAAATTTGCAGTTTCATAAATATGTCAAGTGAATACACTTTAATTTATAACGAGGGATCTCCCAACAGTTCATAGTTAGATACACGACAAATAAGCGTTTAAAGCACATTGAATCAATGTGGAAACACATAAAATTATTTTGATAATTTGAACAGGCAATTTATGAAGTGCACTGCGTCGGGGGTTTTTATGTCGTTTTATATATTTGAATAGCGTATGTGCCCATGGTACGATTCAACAAAAGATTATTCCTGAAAATTCCTGAACTTTCATATATCGTACAAAACTGTTAGAAAATCTCACTTTACCCGATTGGGTGCAGTGATGAATCAAATTGCAACTTATGGAGCTTGGATTTCGAGAAGATAATCAGTTGGGTAAACGCTCCTATAGTTGCCATACATTATAAGCGTTAGGTTCATATAGTTGCGTATTGGAACGTAACGCTTCTAACGTACCGCAACAATAGGAGCGTTTCCCCTATCTGATGTGCAGAACTACTAGGTGATTTTGTAAAAAGTGTGTTTCAGCCCTATACAAAAATCTGTACTATCTGTATCTTCTATCGGGGATGTCATCATCGTTTATTTTCAAAGTGGTGAAGTGATCGAAAGAGGGGATGTTGAAGTTGTCCGTGAAAAAACAGATTGTATATTTTTGATTCAAACGTATAATTTTGTATTATGATTAAACAATCTATATTTTATCTGCATTATATTTTGCTAACCTGTATATTTTCTGTATTGCGATCTGCTTTTTTATTGGGTTTTTAGAATCTAAATAGGATTTTTTATATTTGTAATTTATCTGTATTCTGCATCATATTTGTATTGGCCTCTGAAAATCTGTATTATACAAATACAATTATAGCAGCTCTGCTGATTTCAAAAAACTACGCTGAACCGTCCTAATAAGGACCCAATTGCTGATTATGGACTGTTTCTGAGAAGTTTTCTCGACATAACACGTATCATGAGAAAAAACCTTCACACTTTTAAAAAGTAGCAAGAAAATCTACGAACATCAAAATTTAAAGATGGTGCAACCCATCATCATTGTCGAAATAAAAGGGAAAGGTGCTCTCAATAATGGTTGCCCCCTCTGGTTTCGCCATTGTTCATCGTTTCTCCTGTCTCAGGCTCGAAGGCTCATAAAAAAAAGGTTCGAAAATTGACAGCGCCGAAAAGCTCTGATTACGAAATAGATTACTGATTTGATTTCGATTTCATCTGGGCCAGAAGGCTGATGAAAAGTTGAAACGATGAAGACCACGTTATTCTCGACTCGACTCCAATTCTGCTTCTTGTATTCCTCTTGTATTGTTCAATTTCATTTATTCAATTTTACAGCTGGGAAGAAGTCACGGCAAGGAAATAGGCAATCGATCCACCGACGATTGGTGATGTAACAATTATCATCACCCGTTGGCCGATTCTCGATGAATCATCGGTTTTGATTTCTTCGCAGTTTAAGGGAAAGCCAGACATTTAAATTGCAAGTAAAATTATGTGTAGGGTACGTTTGACAAATGTAGCGACAAACTAGTAAAAAAGTGTGAATCTCGTTTAGAGAAGCATTAAAAATAAACATGTACAAGATGTTTCTGAAAGAAGAATATAACCATTCATTATAAACATGCAAACTAAAATATACACGGACTGAGTAAAGACAATTTTTCGTGTTTCCCGCTTGCAAAAATCTAAATAACATCATCTATGTTTTCCGTACTGAGCACAAATGCTACCGACGCAAGGCAGGCAGTTCCCACACCTGGACCCTACGTATCAACCCATCAACTCATGGACCTGGGACCAACGGCTTTACTTTCCGCGTGATCAGAGATTTTATGTCTCAGAAAATTCCAACGACTCACCCTTTGGTGTGAGTGTACCATTTAATTTATTTTGCAAGGCTCAAGTACGGAAGTTTTATGGAAACGAAATTCAATTTACTTTTTACAATGTTTTTTAAAACTAGAGTTTGTACAAGAGGGTCCGATTACTAAGTTGCATCTTTTGTGCTCTACATTATAACTTATGAAATTTCATCACTAATAATACCGCTCTAACTTATTAATAAAAATGTTGCACATAAAATATTTAAATAATTTAACCCTTTATAAGGTAGTAGCAACTATATTGCCACCAACAATATTTTTTTAGAAAGCACTTTTCAACTTCTATTTAAACTGGTGGAAACTTCTAACATTTGTAGAGTATTTCTTTATTTATTTATTTTTTAAACCATAACAGATGTTAAATGAGAAGTTGACAACAATATATATGTCAACAAAAGCCGTTTTTAATAAAAAAAAATGTAACTTTGATCGTACTATACGTAATTTAATAAAATTAAATCCAAATGAAATAAGATCAGACATAAGATCTGTTTATTTCAAATGAGCAAAATTTGAGCTGCTTTACCTCCTTGTTGTTAAAAATATACACAAAACGAAAATTAATTATTTTATTAACGTGTTTCACTCATACATTTTTGCCAAAACATCAGCCTTATACATTCCATAAGATAAACTACATAGCTCCTACAAGAATGCATAAACGGTATATGTGGCCATTTATACATTTCATTTTAAATATGATCTTCATCAACTTTTTTGAAGTTTAAGCAATCAGTAATAGAAATTTGCCAAACCATTGGATTTCTATTTGTGTACTTGTTTGAAAAATGGTTCTCAAATAGGAAGAAATTTACTAAAATTGCTCAAGCTACCTTAAAATTTTACAGATAAACCTTGAATATCTGTTCAATCAGTACTTAAAATTGCATGTATTTTAATACACGCTCAGAAAAAAATACACCTCTTTGAGCAGTTTTGAAGAAAATCAAAAATTTTAACCAAATTTCTTCGTACATTTTTTTTTAGTTATTTTATAAAAACTAAATTTATTTTTGATGCTTACACCACTTGAACTTTATCTAGTAAGAGTTGATTGCATGCTTGGTTTTCTTGGCCTTATAAAGGGTCTACAGCCAACAGTCTTAAGCTGTCTTATTCTTTATTGTTTTTATATATTTATCATCACGTCTTTCAACCTTAATCAACATTAATTCCAGAAAGCATCTGTTTGCTACGATAATAATTTTGTTATGTAAATTGATAATTTTAGCACTTAAGTACATAGCCATAGTTCATTCACTTTTCACTTCATACCGCGATCGGTTCCATAAATTGTACGACCTATACGCAGTCTACGACTTTTGTGTCTAGCTTCAATCCATCATCATCAATTTACACATTCTGATCCGAGCACACACATTATCGACATTATCCCTTGTTTGTCATCTTTCTTATGAATATTCAGCAGTATTCGCAGCTTTGTCTGTTCCGTGACGGCGTGATGCTTTCGTTTTCCCGTTTTACTTTTCCATTCGCTCGTGAGCAGAACAAGACCATTCTCAGCTGGACACGATTAGAAAAAAAACTGTCAGTCTTTCCCAAGAACAATTTGCACATGTCGTTACTTGGCAGCGAGCACACTTCTGCTTGTTTGTTTCTGTGAAACACTGTAATTAGAACCATTTCTGTACGTTTCGTCTTTCAGGACTGTTCTTATCTCTTGACTGTTTTCATCGGCTGTTCGGTCTACATGATGCCGATAACCCATTGTACCAATCTAATCAACATGATCAACGGTTGCTTCGATCCAGTCAATATAATCGACCAGTCTAACGTAGATACCAGGAATCTTTCCACCACACTTTTGCGGGCCTAAACTCACTAAGCCTACTTGACTCCAACGAAGGGGCACTAAATCAATTATCTGCTGCATCAATGGACTTCCAGAATCTCCCGGGCAGGAATCTTTTCCAGGCTCACCTCCTACACAGATCTGCGACGTCTTCAGCTCTATGCGAACATCTTTGTATATTTTGTCACACACCGATGAATTTCTCAATTTCATTGCTATAGCATGTTTCTGCCTATTTACAATACCTGTTACAATTATGCAATAACAAAAATCGTCACTATCGAGCAGCCACATAAATCACTTTTAAAATACCTATCACTGGTGGACCCTTTGAAAATATAGTGAGCAGTTGTCCTTCAGATAGTGATCTCTCATCGTGATCTTCCTTTCGTGGCAGACAAATCGGTTGAACATATTCGTCGAATGTAACTTTGCCAGTCAACTTGAGAAGAGCTACATCGTGTTCCTTGTTGATACTATATTTGTTGTAATTTGGATGAATGATGCTTCTAAGAATTTTGTAGTCTTGATAAGTACGATAATCCTTCTTCACTCTGATGCTGTATCTATAAAATACAATATATTGTTATGATTTGATGAAGCGCTCAAATCATACAGGAATACATACGGTGTCAATATAAATGACAGATCTGAAATACAATGAGCTGCTGTCAAGGCGAATCGGCTGTTGATCAATGATCCAGCACATCCTTGAGTGAATGACCTTTTTCTGTGGTAAATAACGTCCACGACCCATGGAAATCTCTCAATTTCCGAAGTGTGCTCTAGACGTCCACAGTTTTCAGCATTTCTCCACTTTGCACAACATACTAAAGGTGAAAAGTCGGGTAACATACCACATTCACTCTGCGAAATTACATCTTTCATTAAAGTAGTTTTAGCAAGGATCCAATTGCAACTATCTAATGGGACACAATTTCCATCCAAACCATCAACTGTGACACATGGCGACATTCCAACTAGAATTTAGAAATAATTAATTGATCAAACAAAACAGAATCAACACAACAAAAGAAATCTCTCACACACTGGAAGAGTCGATGAACACAATGATGTACATCAAAAGAAAGATGAACCGCTCACACTTATTCATTTTCACTGCTACACACTTCACGATCCGTCTTAAACTGATCTGAATGCTGCTCTGTAAGAAGTGTCTTGGTGCAATGTTCTGCTGATAACTCCTGTGTATTTAATGATTGCCCCGGGGATTCACCTAAGGGACCTGGGAGAGATTCAGCTTCTGTGTCCATACTCTTATGAGCGAATCCCATGATGAGCGTGGTTCCGAAAAAAAAACTTTGTCCGAAGTCTCTAATCAAGCTATTAAACTATGGCATAGCACCTCTGTTGGCATTCGTGATTCAGGGAGTAGAAGATTATTTTGAAGAGTTTGAGAAAAACTGTTCTATAGGTATATAATCGCATTGATTATTATAACACACGTTGTCTGGTCAATGATGCAATGTAAAGATTTGTACTGATAATAAGCTAATCAGTACTATTCAGGAAGATGATTTCGTTTTGAGTATATGATTACTAGCCCACTCCTAGGCATTCATAATCAGATCTAACGTAAACATACTCGGAATTTAGCTTCTCCAGTATACAATGAACATCTACTTAGCAATGTACGGGTTAATTTTAGTGATTGGAAAAACTTTTTTTCATACAGTGTTTCTAGATTATCCAAGTTATAATATTGGGTGTATGAACGTCTTGTAGATCATCATGTACTACTAAAAGTAATTACAGCTTTAGTATAAGCATAATTTGGTTGTCTATATATGAATGATCGCCTTATGGGTTTTCTTCGTCAATGGACCTCGAAATTTCATGAATGTTTGAAAGACGGTGGACAATCCACTAACAGTTGGTTTCTCTCCACCCAATTCGAATAAAATATTACATTATTATCACCAACTAAAGGATTTTCCCATTTTTCACAATGAATTTTCGCTAAACATTCCGTTAAATTTGCGCAAGAAAAGCAGCATTGCGATGTAGCTACACGGGAACTGCACTACCGTACACCATCATTATTCTAGGTGTAGTTATCTGGTGCACCTTTGTTTACAAAGAGATGATGATGAGTTGCCAATGACTCGCACTTGCTGGCAATACTTTATTTTTCACCAGCGTGAAAAATGTAATTCACGAAAATTTCACTTCGCTTGGAACTGTAAAACAATACGATCCAACGAAACCGAATATTGTGGACCGCATTTATTTCGCTTACGTTTACTTTTTTCACGCATGTACATTAGGGTGAGGCATATCTTTAAAAATTCGTTCTGGGACATGTTTTCCCAAGTGCACAATAATTATTGGGACTAATTAAGTAACATATAAAAACATAGCTTTTTACGTTGACATTTAGAGGTGGCACAAGGGTGCCTTCTGTAAAAATTTCAGCTTGATGAGATGTGCCGTTGATTTAAAAAAAAATCATAATGAATTATTCCACAAAAAGTAAAACTGGCACATCGCTCTATCTCTAACACCAACCGTCAGATTGGCATGAAATGATTACTACAAGTAGAAATTATTACCTAAGTTCTAAATGTTACACTATTTTTGTTTTCTTTTTCAAATAAAACGTATGCTTCTGTAAGTAAAAAGTGCGATGTTCCCGTATATGGACTTACGCTTACGTATTGATCTATTGCAATCAACATCCTTGCGATGATAGATGCAGCGTGAGTAATATGACAATGAGAGAGAATAAGAAAGAATGAGAGAGAATACTAGAGAGGGAGAAAACGAGTGAGGGAAATAAAGGAAAATCTTGTTACAGTAACTCCTTCTAAATAGATATTTGCGAACAACGATTTAGGAAAGAATTACGTTGGTAAACTTGGAAGTTTTGCATGGAAAAAATTGTTTAAGTCGACTCAGGAAAAATATCGTGCTTTAACCCTTTCAGGAAGATTTTTTTTATTTGCATATTTTAAGTAAGGATTGAAGTGTTTTCGGTGGTTTTTATCGAAAGTCGTACAAAATAAAAATAAAACTATCAGCAAACTTTTTTTTATGTGCTAGCCCATACAAACTATCCTGGAGTGGTTATTCTTGGATATATCACTAAAAACATCTCGGCACTGGTCTCCCTTTTATTGTGGTACTTAGTCATGTTCATAAAATCTAGATTTATCATTCTATATCCATTCTCATGGCCATAAAACATTATAGAAGAATCGTTCAAGACCTCAGATCATTTAATCTACTTGATCAACCAGGGCTTGCAAAATATTCTTAGCATGAGAATGTATCCAAACATATTCATGAAGACTATGCGCATCAATTACGATCATATTCCTTGGTTTATAAGATGTTCTAAGTTCATCAAATCATCCTGGAGTTTAGATAATTCGATCTATTAGATCAATCAATAATGGAACACCGAAACATGCTCAAGTAGATTAATGGAGTCAATACGCCATCGTTTGTATGTATATCAGATTTTCTAGGATCTCCACGTCCAAAATTTCACATAACATGATTTAAAATTCAACTAGGATTAAAACAATGTCAATAGCAGTGAAACATGTCCAAGCAGATTTATAGAGTCTCTATGTATCATTTGCGATCTATTTCCATGTATATAAGATAAGCTAGGTGCTCCAAATCGTTTTGAATTTCAGGTCAAATGATCTACTAAATTATTCACTGCTCAGACAATGTGCAACTATGCAACGAAACATGTCCAAACAGATTCACAGAAGCGCATCATTCCCGATTTATTCACAAATATAAGATGTTCAATATTCACCAAATAGCCAATGTCACTAGCACCGGAACATATCCAAGCATAGTTTGTGTAATACATCGATAATTACATAAGACCAAATATTCAGCTTTCCGTCCATTTGCAAAATAATTCAAGCATTTGGTTATTTTCTACATAACAAATAGTCAAGAAGCAGTTATAATGTTTTTTTTTGAACAGTGAAGGTATATTTTAGTACCGTTATTCAACCTTTTTGAATCTGCTGAGACATGAAACCGTTGCTGAGGACATTATACCAAATGGAAAATATAATTATCTACATAAAAACTGAGAGAACTGAAATCAGACAAAAAATGGCAGAGATATAAACAAAACAGGGAATGATGATTAGTTCGACAATCGTTGTTACTGGAGACCAAGCTTACCTCTGCATCTCCAACATTGTGCCACGGAAAGGATAGTTGTTCGTGGGATGGGTGGGTTATTTTTAGATCAGGATGTGGTGAACCGATCAGGAAAAGCAGTAGACTGTTATTATTTAAAGCATAGAGCAAAATTGTGGGCCAGGGATTAAACTCTCAACTCAGTGCTGTAAATTCTCAAAATCAATTGAACATTTTTGATGAAAAGCAGCTATCCGCTATCAAAGGGGACCTCCTCCGAATGGGTGATAACAGGTTGCTTAGTCATTTGACGAAGGCATGGATCATTCTCATTTAAGAAACGCTGTATATCATTCAATTGAGAATAACCTACATATAAACGGAGCTCTGGTCGACATTCCGGCGAAAAAGCTAAGCCAACCCGACACCAACCTGACTTCTACCAACCCCAACCCGATTTTAACCCGACATTGACTTGACATTGACCCGACATAAGACAAAAATTAACCCCACCAAAAACACGACAATGTGTCGACATCGACCTTAAATTAGCCTTACATTGATCCAACATCGGGTCGACTTGTCTGTTCGGGACCATTTTGCTGGATTTCTTCCATACTCCACTGTCGTATATCAAATGATAGTGAGAGACTCAATTGAGAGTGACAATGAGCTTCGAATAAGACAGGGGCTTTTCAAATTATGGTTATGTGAGAATTCGTTTACACATAATGGTTTCTTCAATCGAATGATATGAAAATTTACAGCACTGTTCTCAACCTTCTGCTCATTATGCAGAAACGGTAACCACCAAGCTACCGAGCCTCGTCAAATAGAATTAACCCTGATCATGACTATAAACATCGTTTTTTTTAAACGAAAATCGTTTGAAGCTTTCTTATAAAAATAAATAACAACTTGGTTGCTTCAGAAACACAGCTCTATTCAAATATTCAATAGATATAGTTTTGTTGTTTAAACTATTTTCCTTATTCCCTAATTTTAAAAAATTCTTTAAACTTTTGTTTGCTTTTTGAATATAAAATATAGCTTTATTAATTATTTTTACGAATAACTGATTAATACATGTGTAATAAAAGCCAAATAAAACTAAGAAAAAAAATATTCGATTATCGGTAAGAATTGATTATCTTAAAACGCCAAAATGACCCTGAACAATTAAAAAAAAATGCCGCCAAAAAACCAGAAACTCTCAAAATAATCATACTTATTTAATAATTGTTATCTTATTTAGGAGATTTTCATCCCGAACCGGCGTCGTTTCCAATGTAAATACTAATTTCAAATTAAAAAAATCGGAATTATTAAATCATTATATGTCATTAATGATTTAATAATTTCGTAAGATCATATTTGTAAGACACAAGAAGAGGTTGCGAAGTATGTATTTGACATGTTTTCCTCTGTGCGGGATCTAACACCACTATGGCCAGTAATTTGATCTATTGTAGTATATCCCGTGTCCTTAGTTTAGTGCATGTCGTATTCCTCCATCACTATTAAGAAATGATGAAGTATTCGATTTTTTTACAGTTGTCATTCTTGCAATCTTGTCAATCACAAGGATCCAACTTTAATTGAAAGATACCGTTATTTATACCCTTCGGAGTATTGAAACACCCTCTAAAGGCGCACCCCTTTATCAGTCAAAATTGGATTCCTTAGCAAGAAAATTAAGGAATGACACCGATAATGGCCATGCATCAGAACCCTAGTCTTAACCACTTCAAACTAGGGAACAACAAATAGACGATTATCACTTTACCTCTCACCCCAGCAGGCCTGGGTTCAATCCCAGTCGGCGCCGCCGGGATGTTCTGAAGGCATAACATCTCTGATCGCGCCTTCTTTCGGAAGGTCCCCGGTTCATGAGTTGATCGATCGATAAGTAGGGTCCAAGTGTGGGAGCTGCCTCCCTGGCGTCGGTAGCATTGGTGCTCAGCACGGAAAACAAGATCGAAGGAAAACAAATCAAGGAAAAAAAACTACCATATGTCATGAAATTAAAGTACTGTGACTGCCTTCTC